ACTTCAGCCCTAAATCAAGTAAAACAATAGAATATTCCAATAACACCGCAAAATATTCAAATAACATCATATAATACCGAATAACATATCATTTGTACAAATAACGCACATGGAATATTCCTGTAACACAGCCGAATATTCCAATCCGAACGTAGCTCTACGTTAGGAGTCCTGATGTAATATTTTTCCCCTCAAGGATGGTGGGTATGACACTCATAATGTGAATGGCTTGAGCTCGAATAGACTCAATGTATGCTCCCTCAGCTGAGGCATTTCTCTGCAATTGGATGGTAGCTCCGGGTGCCACAAACTCTTTGAGCTTCTCAGCTTTAATCAGCTCTTCTTCAATTAGGCTTTGGATAGGTCAACACTTTTCCACGTCATGCTTCTGGTCATGTTGGCATACACAGTATTTCTTGGGGTCTCAGAAGCAACCCCTTGCCTTCATTTGGGGTGTCTTTATGAAGTACTCTTTATTTTGATTGTCTTCCACTATTTTGTCCATTGAAGGAGTTGGATGGGGATATTCACGTGAAGGAGGTGGTCTTCTCTCTTTATACGAGTTCACCCACCACTCAAGGTATCTGTCATGGCTTTCTCTAGGGTGAGCTCTCCTATTTGCTACTTGATGGTTTGGAAGTGGGTGCAGATCCTCAAAATGAACTATGTTAGACGGGCGAGGGATGCTTCTCAATCTTCAGCTCTCTCCATATAAGCTTCTCTTTAGAGGGTGACAGTGAGATTGCTCGCTTCTCAAGGATGGCGAGAGTTATATTCCTCTCGGAATATATGATTTTTGGATAGTTCCAACAACTCAGCTAATGTTTTAGGGCGTTGCAGGCCCGGTGCATAGTGAAGCATTCACTCTACTAATCCTCGGGAGGGGGCTGCATGAGCAATTGTAGGCTCCAGGTCTTGAACTTCCATCATCTCTTTTATATATGGGCGACAAAAGCTTGTAGGGATTCACTCTATCCCTGACGCAACTGCAGGAGGCCTGAGAGCTTTTGTGGGGCTTTTATGCATTGGAAAATCGCACGATGAACATTCTCTTGGATTTTGTGAATGAGGAGATCACTCTCGGTGTTAAGTCATTGAACCATCAGAGGTCCAACTCGCTTGGGGTTGTGAAGCACGTCATTTATGTTGAGCAGACTAACTACTGACTCAAAAGAAGCAATGTGGTTGATCGAGTCTAATCAATATGACTCAAGGGTCGGGATCTTGAAGCGCTCTAGATGCCTCGATCTCAGAGATTTGCATAGAGAAGGCACTCTCTAGTTGTGTGTGATGTGGTGCCTCGATTCATTCATACATATGATGGTCGAGTGCTATTTTGTTTGCACTATTAGAATAATCAACATCTTTTTCCCCTTCTAAGTTCGATGGTGCCCTCTCGGTATTTGATACTGTCTTCCTTTGTGGAGGGTGAGATATCACCAGTCGTCGTAATTTTACCCCTTCGTATTTTAATGCTTCTCTGATGACTTCTAGCATGTGTTCATTGATATTATTGATCTATTGGACCACAAAGTTCTGAGTGCAATCTATATTATTCACAATCTCTTGATATTGTGATTCTTCTCTTTGAGTTACTCCTCTTTTTGTTTATAGCATAACCCATGCTCACCACACATTTTAGGATGTTGAACTCAAATTTTTCTGTGAATCACACTTAAGGAATAGAGCGTACAAAGATAACGAAAAAAGACAGGAGTAGAAAGAGACGAGGGGATTTATGAATCATATACTATTTTATTAAATTCCAGCAATCAACCTTATTATACATATTATTCCTCTATTATGGGGAACTAATAATTATTAAATGACAAATATGTTGTTGACATTTTCTGGTTGGTTGATCTTCTTTAGTCGGCATTTGGTCGAGTCTATCACTCGGCTTTGAACATCGGTCGGGCTTTGAGGTTGGTCGACCTTTGACTGATCTCCTTCTGAGTCGATCGTTCATTCAAGTTGGTCATCTCTTTGAGTTGACCGACTCTTAGGTTGATTTCATGTTCATCGGCCGACTAATTCTCATTTGGTTGATTTATTCTTTCCTTGGATTTTTTCATCTCACTTGGATCTTTCAACACATGTCTAGTCCAGCGCCATCTTATATGATTAGATCTTTTTCTTGTACAATTCCAAAACTATATATTTTTTTTAGAAAATTTATCGACGGCTTTGGCAAAACATTCATTGGGACTCTTCACTTTTTTGGTGATTTTTATGTTGTATTGATAATTTTTTTATTTCTATTGGAATAAATAAGTCATTAGAAATCCATCAATCAATTTTTCGATGGCTTTTTCTATCCACAAGATTTATTTTTGATGAGACTTTATAAATGATTTCTGATTACTTTTGATAGATTTATCCATCAAAAAATGAATCTTTATTGTGGTGCTTGAATACTTCTATAAATTTATTATAAATAAAAAAGCTTCAATATGTTGGCATATATTTTATCTTATGATCAAGAATAATATCATTTAAGACATGTGAATAAACTTATTAAAAAACTTATTAAGACTAGGGCTGTCAATTTGGCTCGTTGTTCGTGAACAACTCGTGTTCGGCTCGTTCGTTAAGCCTAACGAGCCGAACACAAACAAATTTTTAAGCTCGAAATGTAAACGAAACGAACATGAACAACAGTTTGTTCGCTCGTGTTCGACTCGAAATGACTCGAAAAAAAATTATATAACTTTTTATATAATAATATATTACATATATTATTTATATAATAATATATTATATATATTTATGTCTAAGTTTAAATCATAACACCTCAAGTGACAATGTGGTTAGTGTCTTTTTTTGTATATATTTGATCCAGGTTCGAATCCCACACTTTACATCTATTTTTCTCAATTTTAGTTTAACGAGTCAATTTCGAGCCGAACACGAACACACTATTCACGAGCCGATTTTGAACAAGAGCTATTTCGAACGAGCCGAACACGAGCCAAGCCTGAGCTTGCTCTCGGCCCGTTTACAGCTCAGGCTTGGCTCATTGAAGATTCAATTATAAATTTATGATATATACTTATGTAAAGTCTTGTTCAAGTCTCTATTAGATCCGTATTATTTATGAGTATAAATTATTCGTTTATTTTGTAGTACATTTAAATGAATTATATTGTTTAATCTAAATAGATTGCTCATTAATAGGCTCAAGAAAACTTATAAACAGTTTGATAATACTAGTCATAATAAACACAACATAACTTGCTAGATATGCTAACAAGCAAAGCTTAAATCAACCTCAAGAAACAATTAATGAAAACAAGTTGAACTTGAACACTTATAAATGTTGAATTTAGTCTAATCTTGAGATCAATTTTGGCAAATAAGCTCAAGCAGTTCTTGCTTGGCTTAACTTGGTTTATTTATAACTCTAAATATTAGAGAACATAAATGAATAGAATACTCATTAGATATTATAATAAAGTAAAATAAAATAAATGATTGATCATTTATAGATGTATAAAATAGGTTGAAGAGTAAAGAAAGATGTTGGTGTTAGTCAATAATGGGCGCTTTTATGTTGATGGCAAGCATTTGTATTGCTCAATGACACATTACCATTAGTCAATTAACTAAGGCGTTGTTGGCGGACAATGAATGATGACAAACATTGATACTAGTAGATGACAACCCAATAGTGATCAAGTCATGATGTGAATTGATGGTAATCTCATGAGGGGAGTTGTTGTCGATTGATGATTAGTGCCAATATCAATTGATATGAGACAGAGCTATTAAATTTTATATAAAATCAAAATCTAATTCTGTTATTTTTTTGATATGTGAAAACATGCCATATTTATAAAATTTTCAATCTTTATGTAAAAAATCCTCACATTCATACGTCAGCCCGAAATTTTTTTTTCTTATTTTTATTATAATTTATGAACATCTTATTGTCTTAATGATCTCAGAATTGATTAATTGATAAACTAATTTCATCCAGGCACACATTTTGATTATCAATCATCACAATTTGGAGGTAGCTCCACTTACCATGCCAAAATGCATTGTAACTATAAAATTATCAAACATCAAATTAACATTATCTCCAAATTAACTACTAAAACCTATTGTTCAAGTATTCAAGTGGCTTCAAAATATAAAACATCAAACAATATGTTAAATCTCACACTTTATACTAACCATCTAGTTATATTATCATGAATGTGATTTTTTTTATAAAGTTAACAAATTAAATTGTGAACACGTGCACATGTAAATGTAAATATAAAATTTTAAATTTAGACCTCTTAATTGAATGCATTTTAAGATTTTGTACACCTTTGTTTTGGAAATCGAAATTTATTTAAAATTAGCCCAAAAATAGCTTCATTTATAAGAAAAAAAATAAATAAAACAAACCTATAAATAGGGCTGTAAACGAGCCGAGCTTGAGGGAGCTCAGGCTGGGCTCGTGTTCGGCTCGTTCGAAATAACTCGTGTTCGAAATCGGCTCGTGTTCGAAATCGGCTCGTGAACAGTGTGTTCGTGTTCGGCTCGATTTAAATATTCGTGTTCGTGTTCGGCTCGTGTTCGGCTCGAAATTGACTCGTTAAACTAAAATTGAGAAAAATAGATGTAAAATGTAAAGTGTAGGATTCGAACCTGAATCAAATCTATATAAAAGAAAACACTAACCACATTTCTACATGAGGTGTTATGATTTAAACTTAGACATAAATATGTATAATATATTATAATATAAATAATATATGTAATATATTGTTATATAAAAAGTTATATAATTTTTTTTTCGAGTCATTTCGAGCCGAACACGAGCGAACAAATTATTATTCGTGTTCGACTTGTTTACATTTCGAGCTTAAAAATTTATTCGTGTTCAGCTCGTTAGGCTTAACGAACAAACCGAACACGAGCTGCTTAACGAGCCGATCACGAGCTGTTTGAACAACGAGCTAAATTGACATTCCTCCCTATAAAAAACATTCCGAAAATTACAAATGATTTCCGCATGGTAAATGGTCTTCAGAGCCGTCAAACGGCAGCAATTTCCACGCGGTTTTGTCCTCGCGGCAGCCGAAGAGAAGTCGGCAAGACGCACGGAAAAATTCTCAGCAGCTTGTTCACCCGCCGGCAGGTAGTGCGCCGGCGGCAATCAGGCGATATCGACGAGAAATTTCAGAAAGGGATTGATTAGAAGAGGAAGAAAAGGAGACGAGGTAGGAGAAAAGCGGGAAGAACAAGATGATGATGACTACGAGCTCCATGGGGGCCATGGAGACCACTATCCTGAACGACATCATCAAGAGGCTGCTTGTCGGGGGTAAGGGAGGCCGCTTTCGGCAAGTCCAGCTATCGGAGTTGGAGATCCGGCAGCTTTGCGTCGAGGCCAAGCAGGTGTTCCTCTCTCAGCCAAATCTGCTCGAGTTACAAGCACCAATCAAGATCTGCGGTCAGTTCCCAATTTTACTTCTCCGCTCTCCCTGAAAATTTAGCGTGTTGAAATCCCTAATGCTTGTTCCGCGAGTTTCATTCTGTTTCTTCCGTTGTTTGCCGGAATATTTTTTACTTTTTTATGGCTAAGAAATTGTGATTTGATTTCCGGACTGGATTAGGCTTTGGCTTGCAGAACGTTTTATGAGGCTGAGGAGTTGGCTTCAAATGTAGTCTTGGGTTATCTACTTGGTATTGGATTAGATAATAAGTTTATTGGAAAGCTCTATGTACAAGTTGTGCATGAAATTGTTGAATTGCCATCGCCTCATTTATCTGGATCTTATTTTTTATCCATAGGGAAGTATATGAACAAATGAAATTGATTAAGAGAAAAAAAGGTATAATTTTGTATCATGAACTGTTATCAGAAATTGATTTGGGAAACTGTCCAACCATGGAGCCCATTGACAATTTTCTCTTTGGTTGAAAGGTCCTGCAAATTAGCAAAACTTATTGATTGAGCTGCATGCTTCGGAAGATTTAATTCTTTTATAATTATTCTACCGATATTGTGAAGTTCATAACATTTTTTAAATGAATCCCGTTGGTTGGATTCTGCTTAACTTACCGTTGTTAAAATATGTGAAGATTTACATACATACCATACAAGTCTTACGTATTTACATAGCAACACCAAAGCTTTTATTTTTACATATATGCGACCTCACATATGTATGGAAAGGTGTATTTCACGTTTTTTAGAAGTTCAAGTAGTGGTATTTTAGATGTGATATGAAAAATTTGGGTGGTGTAAATATAAAGGCGAAGTTTGGGTGTTAGATATGTAAATACATAAGAATTGGGTGGTATGTATGTAAATGCCCCTAAAATATATTGTGTGGAATTCAGTGTCTTCGTTGTGGACTACCTTTTAGTGGTTCTTGATGGTCAAAAGTTATCTGTTTGGTGATTAGGTTGAGACTCGGAGGACTAAAATGTCATTTTTCTATAGTTGTTCTGTTGGGTCACCAGCTTGGTAGGTACTGCTGATTAATGCTGCCTACTGCTCGTAGTTTACGTGATAGAATAATAGCATGTTTGATATATTAGGAAGATTTACTTACCTTCCACACAATACCTATGTATTTACATCTGTAACTCCTAAACTTTGATTTTTTTACATTTATGCCACCTTACCTATGCATGAAAAGGTGTGTTTCTCTCTATAGAAGTTAATAATGTTGATATTTTTTATGTGATATAAAAGATTTGAATGTTATAAAAATAAAAAATGAAAGTTTAGGTGTATGTAAATAGATAAGAACCGTGTGTTATGCATGTAAATGCCCCTCTAATTTAATAGCCTATAGCTCATATCTGGTGGGTAGTGGCAAGCATGGCATGTTATAGTAAAGTGCCTTTTTGTTTATCTATTGCTTGTAGAGCATTTTCTTTAGTTCAAATGTTTCTCTCAAGTTTTGCTTTCCTCCTTCCATAACTAGTACCCGAGCAAACAATTATAATGAAATATAAATATTTGTTAAGGATTTGTAATTATACTAGAATAATAAGATTTGTATGTGCTATCTTTGGAAAATACTAAATTGGGAGATAGTTATTAATCATGTTTTATGTCCTTTCAATATCACTATTGTAAATTTATTCATTAGGCCTTGCTTTCTATTGCCTTGTTGCACAGGGATGCCCACATACTTCTTTGACATATCGCCAACATTTTGAGATCTAGTCTCCGCTAACATATCAAAGATACTAGAAATTTGAGTGTCAAGCTTAGAAATTAACTTGGCATGTTTCAATCTAGAATATGAGATTACTTTACATAAAGAGATATTCATAATTGGATAAATAAACAATTTCTAGGAAAAAGAAAACGATAGTTACTTCGACCATAAAATCTAGACACTTAGGTACCGTTGGGGATCACTTTTGTTTTTTATTTTTTATTTTTTATTTTTATTTTGTTTTATTTATGTTTTGATTTGAAACTAAACATGTTTGGTATATTTCAATAAGATATTATTCTTTATGAAAACACTCAAAACACTCAAAAGTTATTTTGAGTGTTTTCAAAAACAAGTTTATTTATTTTAAAAATAAAAAAATTAAAAGATATAAAAAGCACACCAAACAAACACGTTTTTAAAAACAAAAGGAAAAAAAAAAAGATCCCAAACAATTCCTTAACAATGAGACAAACATATTGAATCTCATTATGCATGCAAAAAAAGATACTAAGAGAGATTGTGTGTGTGTGTGTGTGTGTGTGTGTGTGTGGGAGAGAGAGAGAGAGAGAGAGAGAGAGAGAGAGAGAGAGGCTATACTTCTGGATTGGATAGAGATCTGATTTTATAATATGCCTCAACATCTAACGTGGCATAAAAATTGTTGATTTGTGTTATATACTTACACAAAAGGTTTTTTTGTTGGTAATTGAGGTTGATTTCGAGACCAAATTCATGTGAGATATGCTTGTTTAAAATTAAGTGGTTGAAACATGATCCAAATTCCAGGTGTGCACTAATTACCATCTTGCTACCATATAAACCTTTGCATGTTGTGGTTGTAGTTGACCCAACCCCAAAAGCACACTTGCTTCCGAGCTTGTAGAAAAAGAAAATATGAGTGACAAGTATATTTAAGGGTTAAAAGTGGCATTTACACAAATCTTATGTATCTACATATCTCACTCCAAAATTTTCATATTTATGCACATAGCACTCAAATTTTAAATATCATAAAAAATAGTATTATTATAAATTTTTGAAAGTAAAATACCTATTTTCATGTATAGATTTAAACCAAATTTCTATGCATTTAAATATGAAAGTTTAGGTGTGAGATATGTAAATACATAAAAGTTGTGTTAGGTAAGATAAGTTTCCCTTAAATTTTTCTTACATCTTATTTAAGAGGGTTGTTGTTGCAGTGTGGTTTGTGTTGACTAGTTACATCCATGCTTGTTTCTTTCAGCAGATAAATGAAGTCTAGTGAGACATTTAATATTCAAATGTAATATACAAAAAAATCAAGCCTCTTGAAATAAAAAGCATAAGGTGAAAACACATATAGTAGTAGGAGAAAATACATATAGTAGAAGGAGAATATCATTTAAGGAGAATTGAGTGTAAAAAATCTAAAATCATTGGTGTAATAACAATAACTAAAAATAATAATAATAAAACAAATAAAAAGAATAATTGAAATGATAAGATAACCGTCTCTATGGTTATACTGAAGCCCACTCCATTCGGATGAAAATTGAGAGTCAGAGAGCGAGGCAAAGAAGAAAGACTTGAGAGTAGAAACACTTGGTGAAGGAGAAGAGATGAACCGTAGTTGTATGTGTTCAGGAATCGGAGCCAAAGGAGTATTCATGGGTGTGTGCATCTTGTATGAAGGAAGACGACATAATGAGCTTCTATGCGCGAGAAGGAATAAGAAGAAGGAGAAGAAGAGTGGAGGTACCTAGTGTGTCGATAGCATTGTCGACCTGTGCATCCTATGCAAAGGATGAGGTTGATCCGAGCCCTAGAGTGTGGGAGAAGGAGAAGTCAAATAAATGAGAAGGTAATGGTTAGGATGCGTTTGTTTCATCTGTGGATGTAGAAAAGCTCAGATGAAAAATTGTTGTGCAAAAGTTGGTGTTTCAAAAGTACTTTGTCTGTTTGAAAAACAAGTAATGAAAGTGTTGCATGTTGACTAATGATTGTAATATCCCTCAATATATACACCGAAGTCCTTTGGCATAACCTGTCATCTCGAACAATCAGAAGACAATTAAGATCTTTGGTCAAACACTTTCAATATACTAATGTCTTATTTTTAGGATAGTGTTGCACCATATTCACTCCCTAATTTTAAAACACAAAGAATTCTATCCTACAAAGAACAATGGACTCATAAAAGTAATTGCTTAATATGCTTCATAGAATCAATATATATTGCACAAAAACATTGACATGAATATTACAACCAATGTAGAAAATATATGTATTTCATAAACACATTCCATCCACAAATTATAAAGCATACTGTTTCAAATAAGAAACCATAACATCGTAAGAAAAACATAGGCTTTTACTTCATTCAATATCCACAGTTGGTATTGGTTAATTACACTTGTGGTGGTGGTTGTCGAGTCCCCTTTGAAGCCTCATCAATCGTTATCTTCTTCCAGAACCAGTGCTTCTCCCATAGCTGGTAGATCTCTTCGATGGGCACCTGCTTCGTCTCCAGCAGCAGGTAGTAAATGCTTTGTCTCCAACAATACGTAGTAGATGAACAAAGACATTATCACGATCAAGCAAGCGAAGAGGATGAAAATGCTGAAGCGGAGGTGTCATAATGCTGTGATTAAGTACTGAGCGACAAATGCGGTGCAAAAAAGGTTGATACAGACGACAATGCTCTGACCTGTCAGCCTTGTCTCCAAGGGGAAGATCAGCCACCCAAGCGGACCCCATGACCTGCCGAAAGCTGCTACGAATGAGCTGATTGAAGCCATTGGCCGAACTTTGGAGAGAGCGTGAAGCCTAGACACAAGGAGAAAAGAGGGAAAAGCTACGCGATAGAGGTAATAACATAAATTTTTATTTCGTAACCGCGGGACGCAAGCTAGCAGTCGCGTTCGGGCTATAGTTCATTCGTGAAACTTTGTTCAAGACCGGAGCGATGGTTCAAACCTTGGGTCAAACCTTGGGTCAACAAGCCAAAACAAATAGTGCCTTAGATGTTTAGTTATGTAAATGATTCGATTTATTTAATTTAAAATGTTAATAAATTTATTTTTAATTTTATCAATTTAAATTAGTAATTAAAGGTACATAAATCAAATTTAAAATCTAGGGAGAATAGCTTTGATTAGTCGAATAAATTTTAGTAAGGTGAGTTTGGGGGTTTTTATTGAAATAGTGTATGTATTAATTTGATTTTCATTTAAGGTTGTATAAGTGTTGCGGGGCTTGCGAGCTGAACCAATTCAGCCGTAGAGAGTTC